GCCAGTTGACACTGCTGTGTTACGTTTGTTGAGTGAAAAAAAGAAAAATTCATCAACACAATGTAGTAACATTTTATAGGTAAAGTTATTTTATCGAACAAAAATTGATTGATTCTCAAGGTGGTAAGTAAAGTAGATGCTAGATGGCATAAACCCAAAAATATTTGTAATTGGTAAGTTTTGAAAACATTGATCGTTAGGAATGGATGGGGCAAATACACTATCTATGCTATTCAAGTCATTGATGAATAATTGAATTATTTCCCTGCAATAGAAAAGTTTCACTTCAATCGTGTGTCTTCAAGAGACACACTGTTTTTTATATTAAATTTATCCGAAGTTGCTCCACCTAGCAATAGAGGTGGAGCAATTTCAGGTTCTACTGGAGCATTTAAGGAGCAATTCATTGGCCTAAAATTTATTTTTAAAAAGTAGGTATTTTATGTTTAATAGCAAAATTAAATTTCGAATAATTAATTTTTATTAAAATTAATTATAAATTAACTAATAGCAATAGAGATGCCGCAAATCTTTGCTTACCCACTGCGCCACGAAGCCATTCATTTGCATTCTGGCATGCTTTTCATAAAATTTTGCGAGTTAATGAGCAAAGAGCTGCTTTCTTTAGTCTCATACTGGTAATGGTTTTCTTATCGCCAGCTTGCGAGACTTGGTTTTAGCACTTTGGAATAAATTTTTACCACCAATCAGTAAGTTGCACAGCATGAAAGCGAGGTAGAGATTTGGGAAAAACTCTTTTATTTGCGTGACTAATATCTGTAGTAAAGTGGTTTTTAATTGTAATACTTCCTTGAAAAGAATGTACCACCTGTGTTACTTGACTAGCGTACTGTCGTAAAAGGAGACTAGTGAAATATATATTGAGTAAACGTGGTCCGAGTAGCACGATGCTCTTCAGACTATGCCTACCCTTTCGGTTTTTACAGGCGTGACGCTACTTATTACCTAATACATGTTAAGGAAAGACTTGATTTAGCTCTGAAACAAAAAGCTGTGTTTCCCGGAAATAAAAAGGTGGGTGTATTTTTTTCATACGGCCAAATTTGCAGAGAAGGTTCAGAATAAGTAATATAGGCGAATAGGCGAAAATCTCAAACATTCTGTTCTTTTTATCTTTTAAATTCAGAATGCGTGGTAAGGCATTATTTTAATTGATTGTCATTCATAAAATTGAAATGCCTTCCTGACCTCTATTGTACAAGTACGCTGGGCTATTTATATATTGTAACATAATGAGGCCATTTGACTTTCGTCATTTTGGTTCTGATAGCAGAAATGTGCGTTCACGGTACTAATAATAGAGATTTGATAGTGTGACAAAATATATCGATAAAAATTCTATACCCCGGTCAACCATTCTATTTATGTATCATTTGAAAATAATGCCGTACAGTAAATAAATATATCATATAATACTTATGTCTTAAACACAAACTTTACACCTCATATAAATAAAAATCGAAGCTGCGTTAATCTATCTACGTTTTTCTTCGTAACTGTGGAACGGATTTTGTTCCGGGTTTCACCATTGGGTATGTACAAACATATTAGATACTGTTGAAGCGCCTGTCAAATTATATTAGCAGTTCTCATGCCAATATTAGTCCGTAAGCTGTGTGGGTATGTTTAAAAAATGTTGTACCGGTCGTCGTTGTAAAATTTAGAGATCAAGTAAAGGTCGATTGAGCAAATTACTGCATTTAATTATTAAAAAGAGATCAAATTCCTATTCATGGTCCTAAATCGAAGCCGGATTTGAAAAAACGTAATTGGACAAGATATTATTTAGTGGAATACGCTTGGGAAGTCTTAAATATTCGTTGTGGAAATACCACCGAGGGAGTGAAGATATTTAACCAAGAAATCTGGAGTCTTAGCCCCTTAGATATTGGACTATTATTTAATTTATTTAACCCAGCACTCATTATCAGGTAGTATTTTGTGTAAATCGACTGCTAATTTATCAGGTTAGTACCAAATTACCTATAAAATAATTACGTATAACTTAAAGTATTTAATCGGCTAAAATTCATTTAATATTGTTTTATATAGTTTCTAATAACCGTCAAATCATGATTAAATCAAATTATAAAGCTTAGTTAAATTATATTGACGATATTATAATTTTTTTTTCTCGTTATTGGTTTAAACTGTTTTTTAAAAAAATAAGTCAAGAGAGTGTATAATTGAAAAAATTGCATAATATTATTTATTACATACTAAGGCATACCTGTGAAGCTGTTTGATGGTCTGAATTGTATTTGTTACCCTTAATTGTTGTTAATTATAAAGTTAAATATCAAGGTAGTACATGTACCATTTTGTTTAATTATTTAAGAGTTTGAAAAGTAAGTAAGGGAATTAGTTTTCATTTCTTTACAACTGTAAGCAAAATTGTATAAAACTACTTATGAATTATATTTTATAAAATATAAACTTCTTGTTTGTATAAATTTCAGGCATTTGCACTAGTCTCCCAATACCAGCCAGCATGCCAGAAGATAAGGAGCAAATTAGGAAACGAGCTAGTTACAAGGGACAAATAACAGCTTTTTCAAATTATTTAAATTCACTGAAGGTATCTTCATTGGCTGCTACTGAGGTAAATGAGTTGCAATTACGTATTAGTAGGATTGAGTCAATGTATGAACGATATGATGAGGTACAATTATCCATCGAGTATAATACTGATAATATAGACGCCCAGATATCAGAACGAACTGATTTTGAATCCCTGTATTTTAAATCGCTTTCTCTTGCAAAAAGGATCTTAGCAGATTGCATTAAGTCAGATGACGTAAGCAGTGACGGTGGCTCTCATTCCGGCAATCATAAATTTGTTAAACTGCCCACTATTCAACTACCTAAATTTAATGGTTCTTATGATAATTGGTTAGAGTTTCATGACACGTTCATGAGCCTCATACATTCAAATGACGAGATAGATGACATAAATAAGTTTCACTATCTGAGAGCGTCGTTGGAAGGGCCCGCTGCTGTGGTAATACAGTCAATCGAATTCTCGGCAGCTAATTACACCGTCGCATGGACTATATTATGTGATAGATATGATAATAAAAGAATACTAATTCAAAATCACGTGACAGCCTTATTTAATATAGCACCAATTAATAAAGAATTGTCTGTCAACTTAAAACGTCTTATTGACCAAATAAATAAAAATTTACGTGCACTAGAATCTCTCGGTGAGCCAACTAAACAATGGGACACACTTCTCATTCATATTATTACTCAAAAATTAGATGCTAAGACATATCGTGAATGGGAAGAGTCTAAAGGTCGTTTGGAGAAAGATACACCTATTACGTTCGATATATTTTTGATGTTTTTAAAAAATCGAGCCGATTTAATCGAAACACTAGAAATGTCTAATTCTGGTGCTACTAACCGTTTAAATTCTTCTATAAAATATGCTCCAAAAGTTAAGGCAATGGTTTCAGTGCGGGATACCGGTAATAAAAACGGTTCGGCCTTTTCCGCCAAACTGTGTCCTAAATGTAAGGGTGACCATAAGTTAAGCAGTTGTCCTCAGTTTCTTGGATTAAGTAACGATGTGCGTCTACAGTTACTGCCAGAGTATAAAGTATGTTTCAATTGTCTTAATTCAGGACATTATGCAAATCACTGCAAAAAGCCAGGATGCAAAATATGCCACCGAAAGCATAACACTCTCGTGCACGTCGCAGATTACCAGTCAAAACCAATTACAGATATTAATACATCTAACACGAGTAGTGGTAATAATAAGCCCGTTATGCAAGGTCATTTCGAACAAACAAACAGTTCGACAGGCTCACAGTTGTCATCCAATTCTAACGCACATCTGTCATTATCCGCAAAGGTAGGCACTGCATCGTGTAGTGAACAAGGCGACGTATTGTTATCGACGGCATTAATTAAAGTTATAGGTAAGAATGGTTGTCCATATATTGCTCGTGCTATTCTTGATAGTGGCAGTAACGCTTGTTTAATAACTGAAGAGTTATATCAAAGGCTAGGTTTGCCCGCTCAAAATGTAAATCAGTCGGTAGTCGGTATTAATAATGCTTCGGCACACATCAAGAAGATTAGTAAGGTATCGATAAAATCATTGAATGATAACTTCTCTAGTAATCTTCATTGTTTTGTCCTACCATCAATAACCCAAAATGTACCTACTAGATATGTTAATTTGTCAAACTTAAAAATTCCATCTAATATTTCTCTGGCAGATCCTAATTTTCACTCACCTGCTCCCGTTGACATGCTTATAGGTGCTGATGTCTTTTGGGACTTAATAGGAACGCAGAGATTAAAATTAGGGGACGGTCAGCCGATTCTTTGTGAAACTAGCTTAGGATGGTTAGTGTCAGGTCCGATAGATTATAGATATGTAAAGAAAGGGGTTAACTTTATTAAATGTAATTTTACAAGAATATTTCAAGATGAGGCTAGTAAAGATTTAGATGAAGATATACAAAAACAATTAGTACGCTTCTGGCACCTCGAAGAGGTAAGCCCTGCGTCTCTTTATTCAAACGAAGAAAAATTATGCGAAGAACACTTTTTAAAAAACACCACGCGACTGGCAAATGGTCGATTTTGCGTGAGGATACCCTTAAAACATAATCCTGACGTATTAGGTGATTCTTGGCCACGAGCTAAAAAGTGTTTACTATCGCTAGAGCGCAGGTTAGCAGGTCAATCTCAGGTCTATGAAATGTATAAAGAATTTATGTCAGAGTATGAAAGTCTGGGTCATATGGAGAAATGTGAGAATGATAATTTACCACTGTGTGCTTCGGGAAAGTAGTGCTACTACTAAATTAAGAGTCGTTTTCAATGCTAGCAGTCCGACTTCTTCGGGTGTTTCCTTGAATAATATACAGATGGTAGGTCCCGTGGTACAGGACGACCTTTTGTCCATTCTTTTACGCTTTCGGCTACACAAATACGTTCTCACAGCTGATGTTGAGAAAATGTACCGGCAAATAGTCATTCATCCCGATGACCGCTATTTGCAACAAATTGTCTGGCGTGATAACCCTTCAGAACAGCTTCAAGCTTATCAACTTAACACCGTGACTTACGGCACCTCTAGTGCTCCCTTTTTGGCAACTAGGTGCCTCCAACAATTAGGCTTAGAGTGTACCGATGACAAGGTTGCTCAAGTGATCATTCACGATTTTTACGTTGATGACTTGCTAACGGGAGGGGATGATATTAACGAGGTTACAGATTTGCGCCGTAAAGTGACTTCCACATTTGCATCAGCTCATATGGTTTTGCGAAAGTGGAAGTCGAATGAATCTCAACTGGTTAGTGAAAATGATATTTCTCCGCTTGATTTGAATATTGGTGGCTTTGAACCGACTAAAACTTTAGGCCTTGGTTGGCAATCACATACTGACCAACTTTGTTTCCCTATAGGAGGGCTATTCTCAGGTAGAACAAAGTGTGATATGTTATCTGTGATTTCTCAGATTTTTGATCCACTAGGACTTCTATCTCCCTGTGTAATTAAGATGAAAATGCTTCTTCAACAGTTGTGGCTGCTCAAGCTGTCATGGGATGAGCAGTTGACGCCAGAAATCAGCAAGATGTGGGCTGAGATAATAGTCGATTTACCTAAATTAAATACTCTACGTATTCCACGTCGTGTTATTTGTGACTCGCCTAGTTTGTTTGAATTTCATATTTTCTCGGACGCTTCTGAGCGAGCATATGGCGCCTGTTTATATGTGCGTAGTGTTAATGATCAGGGTGAGGTTTTAATTCAATTATTGATGGCGAAAAGCCGTGTCGCGCAGCTTAAACCTATAACAATCCCAAGACTGGAACTTTGTGGTGCACTTGTTGGAGCTCGCCTTTACCAAAAGGTTGTAGCATCGCTGAGACAACAGGCTAAGCGCACTTTCTTTTGGACAGATTCGTCCATCGTGTTAGGATGGTTAGTGTTACCTAGCAAGCTACAACCCTTTGTCAGAAATAGGGTTGCTGAAATATTAGAGAAGACTGAAAATTGCGAGTGGAGGCATGTCCCAACAGAGTGTAATCCGGCCGATCATATTTCTCGCGGTGTGAGTTGTAAGGATATTTCATCCATGAGTAAGTGGTGGTCAGGACCTGAATTTTTAAAGAAAGAGGTCTCTCACTGGCCTGCAAATTTCTTAAGTATTAATCACGAGTTGCCTGAGATTAAATCGTCAAATGTTATCCTCCACGGAATACTTCATTCTAGCAACAATGAAGATTTAGGTGGGAATAAATTAATTGAATTTAAACGCTTTTCTAAATATACTAGATTAAATCGGACCGTTGCTTATGTGCTGCGTTTTATTAATAATTGTAGAAAGCAATCCGTTCACGGTCCTCTAAGCAATCAAGAGTTGCAAACCGCACTCAATGTTATTATAAGAATATCTCAGAGTGAATCATTTGAGGAATACACCATGTTAATTAAAAATAAAAGTTTACCCACTAAAAGTCCGTTGCATAAATTTAATGTATTTCTCGATGATAATAAAATAATGCGTGTTGGAGGGCGTCTTGAAAATTCCGATTACTGTTATGAGAAAAAACATCCCATACTTATACAGTCCACTCATTATTTTACCAAATTGCTCTTCAATTATGAGCACATAAGGTTAATGCACGCGGGACCACAGCTAATGTTGGCCACTATAAGAGAGATGTACTGGCCGATTAGAGGTCGTAATTTGGCCAGATCTTGTTATCGACAATGTGTAAGATGTAATAGAATGAAAGGAAAAACCATCTCTCCAATAATGGGCAACCTACCACACCAACGCATCCTTTCTGGTTTTCCATTTCAAAATATTGGACTAGACTATGCGGGACCAATTCAACCTGTTTCTCGCCATGGCCGTGGTTGTAAAATTGTAAAGGTGTATATAGCTATTTTTATTTGCTTCGCGACTAAGTCAATTCATCTTGAATTAGTGGGTGATTTAACTAGCAATACCTTCATATTAGCTTTGCGCAGATTTATGTCTAGAAGAGGGAAACCTCTTAATATTTATTCGGATAATGGTACCTCCTTTGTAGGCGCATACAATGACATTTCAAAATTTATTAGGACGTATTGTAATTCTTTATCTGAGGTAATGGCAAATGAAGGAATTAATTTCCATTTCATACCGCCTTATTCTCCCCATTTTGCTGGGCTTGCGGAGGCTGGTGTCAAATGCATTAAATATCATTTAGTTAGAGTGCTGGGCAATTGTAATGTGACTTACGAGGAACTAAATACCACATTAATACAAATTGAGGCTATACTTAACTCCAGACCACTCACACCTTTGTCAACGAATCCTGAAGACTTGCTACCACTAACGCCCGGTCATTTTTTGATTGGACGCCCCTTGACTTCCTTGCCGACACCAGACTATAAAGATCATTCCGTAAGCTCTTTAACCCGATTTCAACGAATAGAACAATTACGTCAACATTTTTGGGCTAGATGGAGCAAGGAATATATATCAGAGCTTCAACTGCGGATGAAATGGCGTTCCTGTAAAGGCTCTTTGAAGTTAAATTCACTGGTACTCCTAAAAGAGGAGAATTCACCGCCATTAAAGTGGAAGATGGGTCGCATCGTCGCAGTCCATCCAGGCTCGGACGGCGTATCAAGGGTGGCGGATATCAAAACATCGACTGGTATAGTTCGCCGATCATTTAGCAAAATTTGTCCGCTTCCTGAACCTGAAGAATCTGGTTGAAAGGTAGACTTTCAACGCCGGGGGGCATGTTGAAGCGCCTGTCAAATTATATTAGCAGTTCTCATGCCAATATTAGTCCGTAAGCTGTGTGGGTATGTTTAAAAAATGTTGTACCGGTCGTCGTTGTAAAATTTAGAGATCAAGTAAAGGTCGATTGAGCAAATTACTGCATTTTATTATTAAAAAGAGATCAAATTCCTATTCAGATACCTAATAGTGAAAATTAATAAAGTGCCAAAATATTATGCCTAATTCATGGTGCGCGATGTGTTGTCATTACTGCTAAGGGATTTTTAGAGGCACCCGTAGATGCGGAGATGGTAGACCTTCAAGAGTGCCGAGGCGTCGAAACTTGACGTATACGCAAACCCCAGCCCAAGGCACATAGGTGTGTTCTAATTTATACCCCGGATAGGATAGTTGTGTCTCGGTTAGGAAGAGCAAAGCCTGCTTCGCCATCTCCACGTGGTAGTACATGGCGTTAAATTACAAATAAAGTCCTCTGATGTTGCAGAAATTCACAGATAGCGTGGTAGGGGTCGCCTTTTTTATTGCTCTGTTCGCTCTGAGCAGTATTAGTTGCGAATGGAATTCCCTCACCCCCCATAATACGCGGGGCAGCCTGAGCACCCGCCCTCAAGAGAGAAGAGTAGTTTGGGTGTGGATGCTCAGTAGTATGGGGAGAGGGGAAGCTAAATGTTAATTTGGAAAATAATTAATAGAATCTCTATATCATTATATTAAATTTGGTAAAAATTACTTTGCGTACTTCCGCTCGATAAAATAAAATGATGTGTCTTACCCAGTTTGAAGAGCACCTCCCGCTCTCGTATCCCAGTACCACTACTCCCAACACCACTACACTATGAAAGACACATCACTGACGACAATACGACACGTGTTTCGTCTCTACACGAGGCATCTTCAGGTGATGTAGACTCTGCGGTCTAAGAAAAGTCTTTGAAGGAGGGCAGGAGGTGCTCTTCTAATTAGGTAACACACATAATTTTATTTTATCGAGCAAATGTACGCAAAGTAATTTTCATCAACTTTAAGATACGTGGTATACGTATACGTGGTAGAGACATGCTGCAGCTATATTATGGTTGTAGCACGAATGGGTCGGCTCGAACGGGGAAGGACCACGCTCTCACAGAAAACCAGCGTAAAATAGCAGCTTAACGCTGCTGGGTTTCGTATGGTCAGTGTAGAGAACCGGAGACCCTTTTTACTGGCAAAAAGGCATTCCATCTTAGTCCTCACAGGTAACAACCCATCTGCATCTTGAGTCTTTATTGAGGATAGATGTAGATGTATATGGGTCACAGTAACCACTTACCATCAGGTGGACTGTGTGCTCGATTGTCACCCGATCTTATAAAAAAAAAAAGATAATTCGTTTGCCGGGTAGTGGCGGCATAAATTAATCTATCACATCATCATTATAAGACATGACTATGGGAAACGCTAGAAAAATCTAAATGTCGCTGTCGATATATGGCGGTATAAACATATCGGTTACGTCAAAGCAGACAAAATGCCCAGGATAGCTACGTGCAGCTACGTCAAAGGTGAGTCTTCTATTGCGATCGTCAAAGAATGCTGATTACCTCGGATTACCTTCTCTACATTGGGAGAGGTCTATGTCTTACAGTAGACTATTACAGCCAAATAATGAAGAAAAAGAAAAAAATTGATTATTCTTTTGACAATTTTGGATGAAAAGTAATGCGACAAAAGTTCCTGTGCCTTTATCTCTGACCCCTCCAAATAATAAAGCCGCTCTTGCAAGTCACGTAATTTATTGGCCTTGCAAAGTTGTTGGAGTTTGCTTCCATTATAGCCTATCAAATTCTGTTGCTAAACATAGGCCTCCCCATAGATTGCTTCAAATGGGAGGTTTTGCCATAGGTGCTACGTTTAACGTTGTTGTTAGGAAGATGCTGCTGCCCATCTCCTGTTTCAGTTTCTCTCTGTCGCCTTTTATGACACCTGCGGGAAGATATGGGGTAGTAGGTATTCTTGGGTGTTTCTGTCTATAAGCATTCGTGATAGAAAATATGCTCATAACATTATAGCCATTGAAAACATCTGTGTCTACCAGGTGATTTTAAGAAAAAACTAATTTGAGCTAAGTATCATTGTAAAGATTTATTTTAAAGTAAGTATATCTATTAACAACCGATGGGGAAGAAAGGTTCTCGAGTGGCAGCCTCGTACCGGCAGGCGAAGTGTAGGGCGTCCCCCCACTAGATGGAGTGACGACCTGGTAAGATATGCAGGAAGTCGATGGATGCAGGTGGCTCAGGACCGTGCTTTGAGGCATTCTTTGGGGGAGGCCTATGTTCATCAGTGGACTTGTGAAGGGCTGTAATGATGATGATGATGATGATATTTATCAAAAGTGAAATAGTCAAACATCTGTTCCTAAATTTTAAAGAATTCTAATATAAAGAAACTAAATTTACGTCTAACTAATTTAAATATAGCGATGCATTTAAACATTTTTACTAGAGTATGTCCGATAAAGGTGCATGAAATTTCCTATGCGATTCAAAAAGAAAAAAAATTACTCGTGTTAAACAATGCGATTTTTGTCGTATTAATAAAGTGCAACATCGTAACAATTTCCTTGTCCTAACTAAGTAATCTTCGGAAAGTAATAAAAATTTCAATCTTTTTTGGTTTTATAATAAAAGTCAGATATTTCAATATAATTTATGAATATTATGCAATTTAAATGCATCATTCAAAACAATAGTTCAGTTCAGCCAGTTTCTTGTAGTCAGAGGCAAGACGATTTATAAAAAATTTCTACAACCATTATAACAAATTAAATTATTAGTAATTAAACGAAAAACTAAAATATTTATACAAAATAACCTTTGAATCAAAATGGTAACGACAGGTTTTCAATAATCTAGTGCCAAGGGATTATATGTATATTAATAAATTTATAGGCAGATTATTAACAGGAGTGCCTGGTAACTAAAGAAATATGTATCAGTGCATATTTGAAAAAACTAAGTTCGATCCCCGCCGAATCAACGAAATCGTTAATTACACTATTAAAATTTGATTTTAATTTTTTCGATAGTCAATATCTTCAAACCTAAATTTAAAAAAAAGTTATGATAATAAATGAATTCGTCAACACACAAAAAATGGCGCGATGAACTCTTCAGTTTTTAAAAAAAATATTTAGAAATATGTACGTGCCTGGGCCCAGCTGTGGGATGTATAAAAATTTTTAGGTTCCTCTTTAATTAAAGTAAAACATCTTACTTTTTGATTGAAAGATTTATTAAAAAAAATCGAATCGGTTGGCATGCAAGCTGTGTATCACAACGTCTTTATCCTTAATATATTTAAAAACTACATAATGAAGTTGTTATGTTTCGTTTCTCTCAATCATTTTTGGTCACGTAAGGATATAATGTACAATCACGTGAAATTTACATTTTTATTATAGGTATAGATTTAAATTTTCGTAACTCTATTGTTTAAAATTTTGATTTCGTATTTCACTTCAAACTAGACAAAATATTTAAACTTTTCCAATAAGTCAAGTTAATTTGGACCGTATTGTAATGAATTTTCCAGAACTGTAATAAAACGTTTCACATGTTGACAACAGCCTTATTTCACATTCTCTTTAGTTGTGTGCGTTCAGTGTTAAGCCAAATTGATTACCTTCGCTTAAGTCTATAAAATAAACTTTATTACGCCTGTGACGTTGTTTATCCAGCTAGTAATTATGAAAATAAACCACAGCTGCAGTTGAAAGTTCCTATGTTTTTTCTTTATTCGATCAAATTTCACTACATACTATTATCTTAATTCTTTCCTATTTTTTAAAAGAATTTAATATTGTAGTAAATTTGGTAGTTTTAGCAGCTCTTGTCAAACTATAACAGCAAGGCATTGATTGTTATTGTTCTATTATAAAAGTATATATGAGGCACTCTTATTTCAAAGCCTGCATCTGTCCATTTACTGACTGAAACTTCTTCCGACCGAACGCGATCCTGTCTGAATACTATTGCATGCCTTAAGCGAAAGCACAAGGTATGTTCTACTATCGCCTAAAATTAAGATTCCAATGTTTTATCGAATAAAATCGTATCTAGCAATCATATTATACATATAAATGATGTAAAAAGCACATTGTTAGAAAGATAAATGATTGTTGAAATTATTAATACTTTTTTAAATCGATTAATTGCTATTTTTAAATGAAAAAAGGGGTTTTAGTGGCTTATAGTGTGGATTTATCATGAATTCAAGGCTTGTAAACACTATAACTTTTGAAAATATCAATTGTTTAACTCAATCTATTTTTTAATCTCTTCATCTATCATGTGGGAAGCCACTGAATGTAACAAGCAGTGTAATTTTGTTTTGTTTAGCTATAATTAAATTTTTTCGGCTCCAAAATGGCGAAATTTTCGTTGGTTTAGTAGCCTTGTATGTAAATTATTTCTGTAAATAGGGAGCTACAGCCACATAGTACTTTACTCACTCACTCAGTTCGGCTTCGGCGTCAGTCGCCGTCGTGAGTGGACATTGTTTCGGTTGTTTGCAGCGGTTCAAAAAGTTCGCTGTACAAATACACAATATTCGAATAACCAAATTTCCTAAATACTTGATTATAATAATAATAAGAGATTTTTTTATTACATTATTTTAAAAGCACAGAATAAATAAGAGTAGTACGTACTAAACGTAAATAGTATCAATTTTTTCGTCATGGGTGACATTTTCATGATTTTCGAGGGTGTTGAAACCGATAGTGCTGTCGAAATGTAAATCCAAGATGGCGGCTGAAGTAGGTACCAATTTTTTCATCATGGGTGTCATTTTCATGGTTTTCAAGACAGTTGAATTCGATAGGGTTGTTGAAATGTAAATCCAAGATGGTGGCTTCAATAGATATCAATTTTTTCCTCATGGGTGTCATTATCATGGGTTTCGAGGGTGTTGAAGCCGATAGTGCTGTC